ACTACGACTACGACAACGACGACGACTACGACGACGACTACTACTACTATTACAACGAATTTTGTAGTACCACTTCTGCTTCCACTTCTGCTACCACCACCACCACCACCACCACCACTACTACGTACCATTCTGGCATATTCTGGCGCAATGCACTGGTCCCTGCCCATGTCTGGTCCACAATCACGATAAACGTGAACTTTGAATTGAAGCGCGATGCTGGAAATGCTCCATATGCAAGCTTAGTGGTGGGATTGTCTCTTTCGATGCTGGCGAGCTGTGGATTGGGTAGGAGAGAGGCAGCATTCCAGGATAACCAGCAGTTTGTGCCAGGACGTATGCACCAAGTCAGCGGCGCTGCGCTGCTTTTTGCGCGCAGGTGCTGTGGCGCATGCTGTTCACACTTGGTCGCTGCGTGACCGGACTACCCTTGTAGCGTATGCCATTGGGCCATTGGGCAGTTTCAGCATCTGAGCGCCGCTCATCGAAGTGGGCTTTGGACTGCCTGAGGAGGCCTGCCCGACTTATACTTGTCCTTCCAGGGATTGAATTGGGGTCTTTGGTTTAGGTTCGTCTTCTGACCTCCTTGCCCTCTTGTTCTGGAACCCAGGTGCAGTCCCACTGTTCTGGGGGCGCCAATGAATCAATGTTCCAATGGTTCCACTCGCTCCACTCGTTCCTGTTGCCTTGCTATGGCCCGAGTGGCGAACGTGGGCGAGTGGCGCGAGTGGCAGGCGTGGGCGAGTGGCGTGAGAGGTGCGAGTGGCGCAGCCAATTTTATTTTTCCCCCAGCGCGGTCGCAATGAAAGTTTCCCATGCAGCGCTGCAGTGACCGAGTGCTTATAGTGCTTTGTTTACACCCTGCGAGCTGCATGCAGTGGTGCATCATGATCGTGTCACGGCTCCGGGCCTGACTGTATGTGATCCCCGGCCCAGGTCGGCGGTCTCTTCATTGGCGGGGCAAGAACCGGTGGGTCCTCGCCTTGTCTGGTTGCTCGGGTATTCGTACCGAACCATACCGTTGGTGATTAACATCGTTGGCCACTCCGTGCTGCCTAGGCTGTTGACTCGGTGATGAGGCAGTGCGGTAATCCAGGGTGTCTGCGCTGGTATAAGGATCGACACATGTCTTGTTGTTCTGACTGTGGTAGAGCTACTACGACCGCGGGATAGAATCGACACAGAGACTGTGTAACAAAAACGGAAAACAAAGGGTTAACATAACACAAAGGGAACGGCCGGTGTGTTTATTTACTTATTGTTTTTTTGCTTCGGGACTCCATGGATTTGCCCGGGGCACAGCCGCCATGCTTTCAGCAGCCATGCCAACAGCAACCACCAAATTCGATTACTTATGTTTTCATCGATACAGTTGTCTGTCTATGTGTGTGCACCTGCACAGCTGTCTATAACTCTGGCTATCTTATACCCAGTGTGAACCCAAAAATGGAAGTCTGCCTAGCACTGCTCCAGCTTCCTTGGTAGGCACCTATCCACGGTCATCTATGTATACCCGGTGACTACGCAAGGTTGGTCTCTGTCGTCTGTTAACGAACAACCAAACCCAGAAGTTGCTCATATCTACTTGCATATGTTCCTCCGAGCTGTTTGTTCAACATTCAAAGCCCTGCAAGTCTTACAGCTGTAGCATTGCAACCCCACACCACACACGCTGCGTAATTTTGCCGCGCGGTATCGCCTTTGTCAGCCGCACTTGAGGTCCCGTGACTGGCCACGGTGCTACTCCGCACAAGCAACACCGATCACCTTCTTCTGCTTCCAATCGTCTTTCTTCAAGAGGCGAACCTGCACTTTCATGCCAAGGGAGACCTTGGCTGATAGAACTTTCCATTGCTTCATGCCGAACATGGAAACACCTTGACGGAGGAGATTTCATCCTTGCGACTTGTGCAAGAAAGCCCTGCTTTTTCCGGGCTTCCGGCGGTTTCCTTGAGCTCTTGCGTCATCTCGTTCTTATGCAGCAGAGCTTGCACCATTTGGCTTCCAGGCACCTGAACTTTGACCTGCATCCGCAAGGGCTTTTGGCGGCTCTGCAGCTCTGCACAGCAGGGCACGGCCCGTCTGGTGCTTCGTGAAAAAGCAGATTTCGGGCAGTTTTTCTGCAGCTGAAGAGCGAACACACCATACAAGGCAATGCGCACCACCTCCGCTTCTATGGAATCGCTCTCGCTGAGCGCGTCGAAGGCTTCTATATCCGAGTCCTCAAGCATCAGCAACCGAAGTGCAAACGATGGAGGAGCTGCGCACGCTCGGGCAATGTTCGCTCTGGCCACGGAGTGCTCGCACCAAGATGGCAGAGCGAGGCATTAATCTACACTGCAAAGGCGAGCACAGCGAATGCAGCAAAAATCAAACGATATGATGCAAAATGCGCATCCTGGCGATGCCGCTCCTGAATCGCTGGTATTTTGAACATCGGTGGCCTCTCCAATGGTCCTGCTGCAGCAGGAAGTTGGGGAGAGATGGCCAAGATATCTGCATGTGCGCATCTGACTAAACAGGGTGCTTCAATAGGCTTGCATTCAGAGCTCGTTGTCGACTACGACTATGGCAGCAGCGAGGCAAATTCACAGCATTTCACAGCCTTCAGACTTCAGATGCTGCAACATCACGCCTCTAAGTCTCAATGTCAAGAGCTCGGCCCCTCAATCTATTTGTGCGCCTGTGCGGCACGTCAGGAATATCCTGCCCTCGTCATCAATGTGCAAGACCCGAACTGGAATCTTAGCTGGTCGCGTCTTATCACGATAGATCAAGATAGTCTGCTGCCCCACTCTGCTTTCCATTTGCGATTGAATGCGAATGCGAACGATGGCATGCCTCGACTGCTCCTCCGCCAAACCCAGCCTCCTCCTCCCTCCTCCCTCCTCTTCCCTCCATCTCCCTCCCTCCTCCTCCTCCCTCTCCTGCTGCACCTCCTGCTCCTCCCTCTCTACTACGCTTTGTTTGACCATGCTGAGTCGGTGATCGATCGTAGCATGCAGCCAAGCAGCACGCTCATTCAATACGAAGGGCTGCTCTTCGGGGAAGCCATCGCGCCATTCGCTGGTGTGCAGAAACCCATCTCTAGGGGCGCCAATGTTAATGAATACACCTTATCACGTGAAGGCGTCTCTTTCGACTTGCTGCGACCCGAACGGACCCGAACTTAAGGCAAGAAGCCATTCAGACCGTACCTGCCGCGCACTCCTTGAAGCTCCATGCCGACCTGATGGGAGATTTGTCGAGTTCGGCCCCGGTGTTTTGCGCCTGGCCTTCACATCCTCCGCGGCGATCTTCGGAGGCAGCCTCACCGTACTCTCACCGTTACGTCCACGAATCAAAGGCGCTGCCTTTGACTCAGACCTCAAAATGCCGACTCAGGGGCCACCTGTCCTCATCTGCCACGTTCAGAGACACTGCTGGGTTTGGTCGGGGCGGCGTCCGTACTCCGGTAAATGCCTTGAGTTTCTGACAAGCTCAAGCCACGTTCACGCTGAACAGCTTGACACAACTAACATAGCAGTGACGTGTAAGACCTACTCATACCTACTCCCTTCTCAGAAGAGGGCGACTTCGTGCGGCCAGCACAGGAGCCGACACGAGGCCACGAAGGCCGCAAGCTGCCAAAGCAGGCATCCGCTTCTCCTTCTGCCCATTCTTAACGGAAGCTTTTCACTCGAGCCGAAGGACTTGGAGAGTCACTGACGGCCAGCAAAGATGTCGGATCACACGAGGTCAGAACATGTCAGACGAGGCCCCAGCGAGTTCTGGTGCAGAGGCGGACTTCCCGAGGCGGCCCTGAAACGCCTTCACTTTTGCGGCATACTTGCGCCGCTCCACCTCCTGAAGTTCAAGGGGAAGGGATCATGTAAAACACAGAGAGAGAGGGAGAGAGAGAGAGAGAGAGAGACTGGGTGAGCTTCTCAGGTCCTCGTGGCGGCATTGAGCAGCCTCTTGAGCTGATGGCCGGACAGGACCTTTACAGCCTGCAGTGCCCTTCCGAAACGTGCCTTCTGCTTGGACATCGTCTCGAGGAAAGTGTCGATGGGCTTCACCTTTTCCTCCCGGATCCCCCTCTGTCTCAGTCTTGTCTTGTCTCTCCGCATCTTCGTCTCCATCTATGTGTCGATAATCTATATAGGTCTTAGCCTATGACAGGAAGCAAGGGCATGAGCTGGCGGCCTTGGCCTTCGGAATAGTGTCCAGAAAGTCGGTCACCATGTTGCCTGCCTCCTGCCCCACCGAAACGCTGTGCGAGAGCAGAACGCTTCGCGCAGCGCTACGTGGGAAGTCGTTTTTTCTATTAGACTTTAGACTGCTTTGGCTTTCGGTCATTCAGTTTGACTGTTGCATAGAGGCGAGGTACGCTCAAGCAACCTCAGACCCAAAGACTCCGAAAAGTCAATGCGCTGTTGGGGTTCAGGTGGGATGTGCGGCAGTGCCACATCAGGAACATCGACTTGCATGATTAGTTAGTCAACCCACATTCATGAAACAAGTCTGTGCAGAGACACCTTACAAGTCGAAGCTTCACTTCAGCAGATGATGTGATTTATCAGACTTTCCTACAAACGCGAATCGTGATAGGTTCGACACTGCAGTGGCGGAAGCTCGGGTAGTCTTCTTTGTCACAGTGCGCGGCAGGCTCTTCTGGCAGAACGAAACCTCACCGCTCAGCCAGGCTCAGCTTGCACGTCACCTTGACAGGTCAGCAAATGTTTGTCTGTCTCCGTCTGTCTGCCTCCCTGCCTGTCTGCACACATGCAGGAATCTATGTATCTATAAGATGCGTGTATCCATGTCGGCATCGTGTAGTTCTGCACATGTGCGTGTGCATGTGTGTGTGTGTGAGCTTATATGTATCTATACACAGACAAGGAGAGGAACGCGCACACACACGCACACACACACATGCAGAAGCACCTCTTACTGTTCATGCTCCAATGCCATCACCTACACAAGCCAGAAACCCAGGAGAGACGGAAGGCTTACAACACATCCGAGGCTCATTCATGGCTTGCATCTCTTGAAAGAGCAGTTTGCAAGCATACGGCAGACGAATGTTGGTCACCCACTCTGCGCTGCTGCAAAGCTTGCACCAGTCAGGTCGGCAAAAGAGGCCGCACTTTCCTAAGCCACGGCAAGGCATCAAGTATACAATAGTATACAATGTCGTCAGTGCACCCCTGACCAAAGCGACGAAACAGTTTGGCCGAGGTTCTGCAAACATTTGGATTGCATACGTCACTGGAAAGCATGAGACGCTCCAGCAATAGGTTGGAAGCACCGTAGGCCACCAGGCAGTCTCTTTCCATTTCCTGACACAATACGGTACTATGCATGAAAGGTTTCAGCCACGACAACTCAAAGCACAATGCGTCGATTTGCCTTGATAGCACCAAGTGTTACAGGTTTAACTAACCTAGAAAGAATCCAGAAAGCAACGCGGGACGAACGAACACACACGCGCACACACACACACACACGCACGCACGCACAGAAAAAAAAAAAAACGGACGAAAACGCGGGACCGCACACACCATTCAGTTACTCAGCAGCGCAGTCCTGCTGTGACTTACCACGCCCAGCTATGGGCTCGGAACCGCACCAGCACTTATTCACATGCTTCATGTCAGAAGATATCGCCGTGTTTCCCGAAAGCCTGTTCAACTCTTGTTTCCGTCACGAAGACCTTTGAACTTGTGGATCCAGAGCCAGGCATGACCGGCTGACAAAGTACAGCCACTTGCATCGACGTATCCGTCCACGCGCGTGCCTCTCTAAAATTCAGGTGCCGTCGGCAGACCTCTTGCTGCCTAGAAACTCCCAGCCGCAAGCCTCCTTCTTTGGCACGACCTTCTGTAGGCTGCCGGGTGAGCAACATCCGTGGCCCGCGTGCACGGGCATGCATCTTGTCCTTGAAATTCGATCAAGAGAGCTGGCAGAGTGCTTCCCAAAATACGAAAGATTGCTGTACTGCTCGAGCTGTAAGACCCTGGCCACTACCATGTGCTTCAGCTTCTGGTAGTAGATTGGGCCACCTATGTTCTGGTGCGAGATCTTTTGAGGATGATCTTTTTCACAAAGGGCTGCTTACGCAAGGCTTATGCAGATACCGTAGAGGCCGTTGGAGTCAGACAATACGAACGCACAGCCGAGGTGCAGAAGATGTAGGATTCAATCGGCTCCCCTGTGATTCCACTGGTTAGGTACTCCTTGCCAGTTGGTGCGAAACCGTGGCTGATAAGGGTCCTGAAGGTCCGATGCTTCAGCGTGAGGGCGCGAGCACGCAACACTAAGTGTAACATTGAAGTTCCCAAGAACCTCACCCAAAGCCTCGGCGCTGCATGCTTTTTTGGCGTTTCGCATGGCAGCCCTCCATGGGTTCCGGCGCGCAGCCCTTGCCCCCCGTGCATGCTGCACGTCGCATCGTGGCTCTACAGGGGAGATTCAGGCTTAACGCGTAAACAGCCGCGCGAGAAATCCCCCTTCGATACTGGATGCGCGGGGCGAACTCTTCGTCTCAACCATGTGGAGCTCGAGACGGAGATCAAGTCTGCTAGCGGGGAAGCTTGTAAGCGTGTGGAAGCAACTCCTGATAACTCGGACACCATGTGGATGCTCAAGGCTCCGGTCTCGACACCGGAACCAGCAGAGCAACATCGGAGACAGTAGTGGCCGAGTCTCGCTGCGACTCAGTGCTCTGCTTGTGAATCCGCGCTGTGATGCTTTCTGACACAGGCCACCGCAGCGCTCCAAGAGCTGCCTGGTTGGAACTGCGTCGACAAATCCGGAGGTCGAAGCACGGTTTGGGGATATAAACTCCAGTGAAGGGCGGCTTGTTATGAGCGAAAGACACCTTCGTGCACAGGTGGACCTGGACGACAGCCAGCCGGATGTTGTCCCCAGTGCACTGAGGTCTCTAAGTGAAGGCTGACGCTCAAACACCGTGCTGCCTCGTCCCCCTCATGTTCCCCGAATTGTTGTGGCCTTACACTCCATTGGATTACGTGCTCACGACAAAGATACCACGAGTGTCCTCCAGGTCTCGTCGGCGTGGCGTGAGACTTGATGTTGACTGTCGGCTGTCGGTACCCACTCATGCGCACACGCACACACACTCCCTCTTGCTTGCTTGCTTGGGGTATGAGGGTCAAAGCCCCCTGGCCCGTAGGCCTAACCCCCAAAAGTTCGCGTCGGTTCGTCGGAAGGCGCATACAGGGGAACAGGATCGTTCCCAGCCCGGAAGGGGTCTTTCCGACGAACCGACACACACACGCACGCGCGCACACACACACACACCCGCGCGCGCGCTCGCTCTCTCTCTCTCTCTCTCTCTCTCTCTCTCTCTCTCTCTCTCTTTCTTTCTGCAGGGTTATGGGCA